GTGAACACTTTTTTTTTTAAATGACTGCATGATATAGTCTTCCATACCATTTTAAAGCTTTTTTAGGTAGTTGCTAATTTTTTATGATTATTGATATTAAGGTTTTCATGATGAATAAACATAGCACCCTCCAGTGGGCATTCATTTCCATTTTAAAACAAGAAAGAAGAAAATTGTTTTTATTTGTAAGTGGGGGTGATTGCAGGGGTGGGGGGGCTTTTCTGGAGTTGGGATACTCTTGAGGGTGATCTGGTCTCCACAAGGATTTGAGTTGAGTCGGATTCTTCTTAATAAACCCAATCTTGGATGAAGAGCCCCTGAGTCTCTCCAGAAGGGGTCCTGGGAATTTTCTTCAGGAACTACATTTGCCCTTTACCTCCTATTCCTTTTCTTCCTCTCCTGTCTCAAGGTGTTAAAGTCCCTGAAGGAATAGGGAAATTTGATGGCACTATGTTTGCTTAATTACTTAGGGCATAGTTGAGGTGGGATGGTGATCTTTTGAGGCCACAGGCTGGTTTCGAGTTAGGGAGAAGTTGATGAGAGGTGCTACACCTCCTCCGACCTCCTGAGGACAAGAGCTTTGGTGTGAGCCCTCCTACTCCCTCTTCCCATCAACTGCCATACGTGGATGTCGAAACAAGTTGAGCTGTGCAAGCTCGTGCCATCACAATTAGGTGGTGCTCTCCTGAACATCGGCTAACCTGTCTGTTGGCCTCTGGGGCCTATAACAAAGGAGGATGCAGCAGATCCAGTTGGTTTAATATTCAGGATTCTAAAGCACAAGACCCAAGAGCTGTCTTCCATTCTCAAAAATCGTCGGACCTCTTCAACTGCCCAACAGCAATCTGCAGAGGCAGGAATTTCTTTTCCTTCCGTCATTTCCCAAGGGACCTGAGAGTTCACTGGATAATATTCAGGGAAGAACTCTATAATACTTGTAGCGCAAACTTCATTCTCAATGTGGTTATAAAAGTGTATTTTCAAATGTTAATGCTGTAAAGAGATTTGCACACTTTCACATTTTTATAATCCGAGAGATACTTTTACTTCACTTGGCACCTCAGCCCTCAGGGGTTTGGGCCTTTGGGGAGAGTCATGGTGTGGGACTGTGGGGGAGGGGGAATGCCATGGGTAAAAGGGGCGGGGCCAGGGCTCTCCTCCTTCCCTCCTTGACAGTCCCAGCCTCACCCAGAGCAGCTCTGTAGGTACTTCTGGGATGACCGTAAACAGTAATTGGCCATTGCCTCATGACCGAGCCCCAGTGATAGGAATCGAACTCAGAGAACTTCTGAGCACTGTGAGGAAAACACTGCTGTCTGGAAAAGCACAGTGTTGGCAGAGCCAAGGGCTCCACGCATGGCTGGCTTCGTTAAGAAGTGAGGTTCCTTGGGAGCTACCTTGGCCTCCTTCTTCCCGCCCTCCAGCTCCTCCGTCTCCTGTCACCAGGCTCTGTAGCATGCAGACTGAAGCTCAGAGGCAGAGATGTTAACGACTGTGGAGATGGAGTGCACACAGAAGTGGACAAGAAACAGGTCCTGACATAGAAGGGGTAACGAGTTGAGGAGGGGACAGTGGGGTACCCAGGGTGAGGTGTTCAGTGCGGAGGTCTATCTTGTCACTGACATTGTTAAGAATTACTGTCAACTGTGGTCTGTTTTATTATTGTTAATTTTCTACAGACTGTATACCCTTTATTGCCTGCATCTGGGGTGGATCTCCTGCCACTTTGCCCTTGACATGCCATTGAAGTGATGACAACTTCAGGATCATGGCTCAGTGTAAGGCATTGAGCTGGGGCTGCAAACACACTGTGCAGGAGATGCTCTGGTAGACAATGAAATCTTCTTAAAGTGGCCAATTTGGGGAGCAGAGCCCAGGGAATCCTGTTGAGTCTGGAGGCTTGGTTTTGTCTCCATTCTTCAGGGAAAAGATAATGATGGATTCTCTTCTTCTCCCTAAAGAAGTATAAATTCCTTGATGTAAATAAATGATAAAAGGGGGGGAAAAAGCCTCCCCCCACCAAGTCATCTTCTTTCTGGACAATTTAGAAGATCAGTTAAGCATCTTCAGGGGTTCTGCTTTTTTCACTGAGTTGCCCCAGCCAGGGAGGGGAGAGACCTGAGTAACACCCTACAAGTGAAACTCTCGTTGGAGTGGCAAAGAATTTTAAGTATTGTATAAGCCAAACTGTGACAAGTAGGTGGATACTTAGAGATACAGTTTAGAGGTGATCAGATTTAGCACTCTAGGGACCCTTATGTGATATTCCCCAGCATTATGGATGGGGAAAGCCTGACTTCTTTACTGTCTTTCCATACAAGTTTTTCCCTGAGTAGGAGCGCTATGGTGCTGAGATGTAAGCAGGGACTTCAGAAGTGCTGCGTGTTGAATGGATTGTTTTGTCTTTGCGTTGGGTGTAAGAGCTGCAGTTTATGCTGTCACAGAGTGTTGGTAGGCGGACAGGTTGCACAAGGCAGTGCTCCCCAGTGTAGGGTGACTCATGGGAAAATCCTCAGCAGACAGCATTAGCAAGTTATAAACTAGCAAGGTCCTTGGGGGCAGGAACTTAGTAGCAAATCCATAAGCCCTGTTCCTTGAAATTTCTTTGTGTTTTCCCCTGTTTCTCCACCTTCCCAGGACCAACCTCTTCACCTATGCTCTCCCATAGGATTCTCCCCAGCTCCTCCTGACCCATGGACCTTCAGATATCTCCGTGTCTCACTCAGCATCCTCAGGCTCTTCTCAACTTGGGCCTCTTGAAATGTGCTAGCATTGTCTGTCCTTCAAAACCTTCTTCCATCAGAATCTTGCTACTTCGTTTTAGGAATTTTTTTCTTTTTTTCTTTTTTCATTGGCAAACTTCTAGAAACAGAGTTCTGCGTTTGGATCTTGCCTCCTGCTCACTCCTAACCCATTGGTTCCAGGACCCTGGGATCATGACCTGAGCAGAAAGCAGACACTTACCTGATTTAGCCACCCAGGCACCCCAAGACTTAAAATATGTAACGTAAAATGTGAGGGAAAACTTGTTGATTAAAGGGTTATTGTATTTTTTTTTTCTTGTTTTATTACAGTTTCCTTACTTGGCAAGTTTTCAAACTACAAAGACTTAACTTTATCGTCAGACAAAATAATGTCACGACTTATAGCAAATAAGGGTGTGGGGGGATAATTCCCTGTGTTTGGGGTCCTCAGGATCACTCCTAGATCTAGTGATTTGCTGGGAGAATTCATGGGACTCAGCATATAGGCATAGAGATGATTACTGATGTGAGGAACAAAGGCAAAGGGAAATGTAGATAAAATTAAATTCCTTAAAACTTGCAGCCCGTTGACAAATACTTGACTCAGGGAGAGTAGCACATTCCTCCAGGAACTCCCAACTGTCTTTAAGTTAATGACTTTCTAGAAGAAAAAAAAAAAAACACCTAAGCTTGACAATAGCTAGGCCTCCAGGAACCCCTCAGTCCTCTTTAACATATGGAAATCCTTTTGGAAACTTCCTTTGACTCTACCTCTCCCAACTTAAAAGTATCTAATCAGTTGTTCCTCACAACTCCAGTGCGGCTCTTTCTGCCCACGGGTCCTGTCCCCGTGCTTTAATAAAACACCCTTTTTGCACCAAAAACGATGTATCAAGAATTCTTTCTTGACCAATTGCTCCCAGGCCCCATGTCAGATCACATCACTTGTGATTTATCATAGAAAAATGAAATAAAGCAAAATCCAGTAGGAAACCAGGCACAAACTTGAGGACACACTTAACTGCCGCAGCAATGACATGTGACAACACAACACGTGAGGAGTGTTGTCTACTGGGGAAGCTCAGAGGCTCAGTGCCCAGGGTTTTACTGGGGCCGGTCCCGGAGGCAGCCTCAGCCTGGCACATGCTAAAATTCCAGATCCCCGGAAGGCAAGGTGGTCAGCTTCGGCCACATTGCTTGTATCAACAGGGGGTACCACCTGGGAGGGCGAGGTGGGAACCCTCCCCAGATTCGGGTTCGCAGAGGCCAGCCAGGGGCCAGCCTTGAGCCGGCCGCTCGGAGCCGCTCATCTCAGGCTCTGAGAACTCTGTTCTGCACGTCCTCTTGCTCCTCGTGTCTCCCAGGGAGTAAGTATCAGGATTCTTCTTTTCACCTGCCTTTCCCTCATACACTGAGGGCCTTTTCAAAGTCCAGCCAAAGAGGCTGCTTATGTTCTGTCTGAAGCATGAGACCTGAGAGTCAAGTGTTGGGCAAGGCGAGCGCCCGGTTCCGCCACCCACGCCTTTCTCAGGGCCCAAGCCGTGGTTCCTGTGCGGGCCCAGCGGGGAGGCTGCCGGGGAGCCGGCCGAGCGGTGTTGACTTACCACGAGTGCCAGCTTCCAGTGCCCGGCCCCCGACCTTGTGTGTTTTTCCTTTGGCTTTAACTGCTTAAAAAATCAGTTAGCTCACCATCCTTAGAGCACCAACAGCACTGTGCCAGGAATGCAAGGCCCTCGGGCCCTGGGGCTCTGAGTGCTGTTTGGTTTCCCTTCTATAAACAGTGTGTAAAAAAAAAAAAAAAAGAGTGTGCCAACATTTGTCTCCTGTGGGACAGACTGCAGAGTGGAGGCTTCCTGCCCATCTTCTGTCTTCCTGGGAGATGTCAGGACATGGCTCACGTGCTCCTGTCTAGTCCCCGCTCTGTTCTGGTCCATGATGTCCCTTCCTCATCAGGGTCTCTGACAGCCCTGGACTGAGGTGATTCACTGAAATTCCTTGCTCCCAGCCCCTGGCCCCCATCACCCATGGTTCACCCCCTAGACCCTTGCCCCAACACCTGCCTCGACACCTGTGGACATAGCTAAAGCTGCAGGTCCCGTTCAACCAAGAAATTCATGTTCTTCCTGCTCCCTCCCACCGGCTTTTCCCGCAGTTTGTATTCAGTGGCATCTGGGAGCTCTTATGGTGTAAAACAAACAATTTTTTATCATACTGGAGGCCAGTCCCTGTCTTTATTTGGTATCGCCAGGAAGACAAAGCATTTCTGCTTGTACTTGCTTACTGTGTCTAGGCTTTATCCTTGATGAATGCTCCTTGTCTTTTATAGCAGCCAGTGGAAGAAATTATTATTCTAAGCATGTGTTTACTTTTACTTTTTATCCCCCTGCCTTTAGTAACTTACGTCGATGAAGATGCAGATGAAATACTTGAGTTATCATCAAATAAAACTTTCTTGGTCGTGCTAAAGGTTCCAGAGGAGTGTGCTACCGAGGAGGGGTTACCTCACCTGCTCACGGAAAGGGTAATTATATCTTAAGCATTGTTTACAGAGTTCTTACCATTAGAATGTGGGTTCTTCGAGGAGTTGGCATAGGGCAATCACGTAAGTAGCTTCAGGCTTGGATTCTTTGGATTTGGGCAGACGATGATGCTTAGAATTTTCTATAGTGCAGAGCCTGAGAGAGGAGCCCTGCCCTCCAGCGAAATGCATCCTGGAGGATAGTGCTCCGTCTCCTCACTCTAGTCTTACGTTTGATTCAACCTGTCATGTTGTGGGGGACCTGTGATGTGCTAGACAGCGTGCCGAGAGCCACGGTCACAGAGTCTGGGCCCTCAGTTGGGGGCTCAGTGCAAGTAGAGGAAGCAGTTAAATAGATAGTTCTAAACAGTGTGATATGTTCTATTGGGGAGATGCGTACAGAATATTTTGCAAGCACGAGGGAGGGTCACCTAAACTACCTGAGGTGCAGATGGAAGCTTGGAGGGCCTCTTGCAGGAGGTGATGCTCAGGGTGAGTCTTGAAATATGAGGTAGGAGTGTTCTAGATAATACTAGGGGATCTGCCCCACAGTGTCCTGCTGCCTCTTGCGGACCGTGCGGTGGGGACTTGCAGGGGTGAGGCATGAAGGTTTTCCTACTCTTTGGTAAGGCACTGAAACATTTTCATCTTGTTGACTTGGTCAGCTTTTCATGTTAGCCCTTGTGAGTGGTGGTGGAGAAACACTGGAAGCTGAGAGCTCAGTTAGAAGGTACTGCAGTAGTCCTGGTGATAGATGCGGGGGCCTTGACCCAGGGCAGTGGCAGGGGGGTAAGGAAGATTCAAGAGAGATTTAAGAGGTCTTCTCACTCAACGGGACTTTATGGCTGATTGGATGTGGGGATGAGGGAGAATACGACTCCAGGCTCCTGGTTGGGTAGCTGAGTGGGTGGATGGTGGCTTTGTTCTTGGAGCAGGAAATGCAGGAGAATGTCCTTTGTGCATGATGAGGGCATGCAGCGTCACCATGAGGGCTGGTTGGGTTCACAGCCAGATCCAGAAAAGTATTTGATAAGAGAGTAGAAGCGAGACCAGCCTGCCATCCATTACACCCTTCTCTGCAGTTGATAGGTGGAATGGGGTGAGTCACCTTCATTTGGTTTCCATCTGATTCCTATGAAAGCTTTCCCAGGAGGTGATTCCCTCTCGGTCACCCCAGAGTTAGTTTCTGGGCACCCAAGGGCATGTTATTTGATTGCTCCTTCGGGTCACAGGGGTTTGTGCTCTGGGATGATTATCTGGGCTTCTCTTCCTCCTTCTTTTCCTTCTTTAAATCTTACCTGCAAGCCCCTTTTCCTCTTTTTCTTTCACCTGCTTCCAGAGCAAGTTGCTGAGTGAATAGCCTCTTGCCTTTTTCCTCTTGATTGTTTTTTTCGTCAAGGGGTTTTGCATTTGCTGAGCAGAAATGAGATGATGCAGCATCCACACATGTCACATGTTACAGACCGAATTCTTTAGCCGAAGGGAAGTGGATGTTAATCATTCATCTCAGAGCCATATCTCTTGCACAGAGCCAGACACGAGCAGATCCTGTAGGTACGTTTAGCTCATTGCTGTGTGGTGGCAAAGGGGCAGGGACTGGCATGATCCCTGGGGCAAGTGCACGGGCCTGCTCGAGCTGGTTCCTTCCCTGATAAATGGGAATCGCTATACTTTTACTGTATACCCACAGGTGCACATGAGATGCATATGAAGAACTCTGTAAAACACTTTTTTTTTTTTTTTTTAAAGAATGGTCTGGTTTACAGATGATTAAAGTAAAGGCACAGCAAGGTGAAAAAGCTACTGGGCCCTGGTGTCCCAACCGAGTATGTTCAGGAACAAAAGTGAGACCTTAGAGGTATTAGTCTTACTGTCAGGTCAAGAGCCCCTTTCTTTCATTCACTCAGGCCAACTTCTAGAAGTTTCCAGATATGGAAGGTAAATGGGAGTGGAGAGTGAAACACCATGTCCTCGCTTTTGCTTTATTGTCTTGCTTTTCTAAACAGTTTTCCTAGTCCCTCCTTTATCCCACTGCCAGAATTTTCTTCTCTTCCCGCTGGGGCCCTCGCTCTGCTTCGGCCAGCCGGTTAGCTGCGCGTTGTGGTACCTTGGCCCGTGTCCCTGATGCAGGCATTAACAATGGCAGGTCTGCTAACACGGAACATACCTCCCTGGTCTCGAATTAGCGGCTCTGCCCAACCCCGGGAGTTAGCTCACCGGGTGCCAAGCTCATCGTGCACCCAGCCTCATAGGCACAGTGTGGGACTCCAGGGCCAGGGGTGAGGAGCCCCCCATTTCACTTCTTTGGGCCCATAGCAGTGTGGTTAACCGCTCCCAGATATGTGGACATGTCCTAATGACAGCAGGGGGCCATGTCACCAAAAAGAATCACAGTGGATACTAAAAGTGATCTGGTACACCATTCCAGCTCTTAATGGAAAATTATAGCTTGGATTTTTTTTCTGAGAGACGACTATGTGCCAGAGAATACTAGGCCCTAAGGATTAAAAAGGAAGGAGAGAGAGCGGGAACAGAGAAGGTTGGAAAGACACCATCCCTGCCATAACACGTTTGTTTATGTTTATGTGCGTATGTGCGTATGCGTATTTATGTGTGTACGCATGTATGTGTGTGTAGGGTGTGCGTATGTATGTGTGTGCACGCACGCGTGTATGCATGTGTGTCTGCATGTATATGTGTATGCATGTGTGTGCATGTGTGCATGCACGTGTATGTATGTGCCTATGTGTGTACATGTGCATGCGTGCGCGCATGTGTGGGGTGTGCGTATGTATGTGTGTGCACGCGCACGTGTATGCATGTGTGTCTGCATGTTTATGTGCGTGCATGTGTGCATGCACGTGTATGTATGTGCCTATGTGTGTACGTGTGCATGTGTGCGTGTGGGGGTGTGTGTGCGTATGTATGTATGTGCACGTGCACACGCGCGTGCATGCATGTGTGTATGTATGTGTGCGTGCATGTGTGCATGCACGTGTATGTATGTGCCTATGTGTGTATATGTGCATGCGTGTGCGTGTGTGTGGGGGGGTGCGTATGTATGTGTGCACGCGCACGTGTATGCATGTGTGTCTGCATGTTTATGTGCATGTTTGTGTGCGTGCATGTGTGCATGCACGTGTATGTGTGTGCCTATGTGTGTACGTGTGCATGCGTGTGTGGGGGTGTGTGTGCGTATGTATGTATGTGCACGTGCACACGCGCGTGTATACATGCATGTATGCATGTGTGTGTATGTGTGCATGCACGTGTATGTATGTGCCTCTGTGTGTACGTGTGCATGCGTGCACGTGTGTGGGTGGGGGTGTGTGCATATGTATGTATGTGCACGTGCGCGTGTATGCATGTGTGTATGCATGTATATGTGTA